ATATATATATATATATATATATATATATTTAAAGAGTGAGAGAGATATAAACATCAATGAGAGAGAGACATCAATCAGCTGCCTCCGGCATGCCCCCTACTGAGGATGGAGGCCAAAACCCAGGCATGTGCCCTGACCAGGAGTCAAACTAGTGACCTCTGGTGCATGGGCTGACGCTCAACCAACTGAGCCACACTGGCTGGTCCAATCTATATATATAAAAGCCTAAGCGACTGGTCGACCGGTTGCTATGATGTGCACTGACCACCAGGGGCCAGTCAACTTGGTGGGTCTGAGCTGCAGTTTGCATTGGGAGGCCATGCCTTCAGCCCAGATTCCGCCACTCCCCAGACACCATTCCGGAGGCGCAGTACCCCCCGACTCCCGTCAACCCCTCCGGCTGCGTCCTCCGTGGGCATCCGGGACTGAGGGATAGAGAGAGGGAAAAAAGAGACCACGAACTCTGTTCCTAGTGCCCGCCTCCTCCTATCAGACCAGAGCCACCCCAGGACTTTCAGGATGGCACGCAAAGTGGGCGGCCTAGCTGCGCAGTTACTGCAACTCCCTGGTCTGCCCTGGGCGCCCCTCGGGCACTCACCCCATTTCTCTGAGCCTCAGTCTGCACCGCTAGCGAGGCTGCGGGAGCTGCAACCTAGGAACCCACTTCTTTATAGCTGGGTGCAGCAGACCAGGAGATGGCGAGGGGTGGCAGTGGAAGATGGGGGCAGACGCTCAGCTGACTGGGATGAGCAGGGCCCGGATGAGTGGGAGCGGTTCCTCCCCAGCCGCCTGCCGCCTCACGCACTACTACATCCCTTGGGGGATGTTGGATGTTAGATTCAGCCCGATCCCCACAGGCCATGCTGAGGGACCCCACCGGTGCACAAATATGTGCACCGGGCCTCTAGTTGGCTATATATCAGAGGTTTCCATCAACTCCTCCTTGGGTTTGATTAATTTGCTAGAGTGGCTCATAGAACTCAGAGAAACATTTTACTATAGGTGACCATCTTATTATTCAAAGTTATAACTCAGGAACAGACAGATGGAAGAGATACATAGGGCAAGGTATGGTAAAGGTCATATAGATCCCGTGTTCTCTACAGGTGCACCATTCTCCCCAAATTTCCATGTGCTCACCAACCTGGAAGCTCTCCAAACCCTGTCCTTTTCTGTTTTACTAGAGGCCCAGTGTACGAAATTTGTGCACTCGGGGGTGGGGGGGTCCCTCAGCCCAGCCTGCGCCCTCTCAGTCCGGGAGCCCTTGGGGGATGTCCGACTGCTGGCTTAGGCTCGCTCCCTACCACCGCTGTTACACTTGCCAGCCATAAGTCCTGCTTCTGGCTGAGCAGCGCTCCCCCTGTAGGAGCGCACTGACCACCACGGGGGCAGCTCCTGTGTTGAGCATCTGCTCCCTGGTGGTCAGTGTGCATTATAGCGACTGTTCGTTTCTCCATTTGGTCGATTTGCATATCAGCCTTTTATTATATAGAATTAGAAGCTTCAGTACATGATTGATTAAATTATTGGCCATTGATGATCGATTCTATCTCTGGTTCCTCTCTTCTCCCCAGAGGGGAGGTGGACTGAAAGTTCCAAACCTCTAATCACATGATTGGTTCTCCTGCCAAGCACCCCCATCCCTGGGTGCAGCCTGAGAGTAACCTCATTAACATAACAAAAGACATATAACTTTTGACACTTCGGAAATTCCATTTGAGTTACAAAAAATATATTTCTTAAAAAAAAATCACAATATTCATGACTTGAGTTTGAATGGCTTATTTGATTTAGTCTGTAGAGAAGCATTTGACCCTATTATTTATGTTCATGGTAGAAAGCTAGAAGAAATTTTCAATATCTTCCACTCTGTCCTAGCTGGTATATATTATGAACCCTGTAATTTAAAATTGCCACTGAGTAAAGAAAAAAAAGAGTCCCTGGAGAATTGCTGCTAGTCACCATAGACCACTGGTTTCAAAACCTTGGCAACAAAAGTAAAACAGGCTACCCGTGAATTATAGAGAGACTTGAAATTTTGTTCCAGAGTAGTATTTTCTGCCTGGTAAGACTATTTTTGCCTAAACAGCTTGTTTAAAAAATAAAAAAATAAATGTTTCCAGTGAAAAAATAACTGAGGAAAAGGAGAGGAAATTTATATATATATATGATTGTTTTGAACTCAGTATCTATTGAATAAAGCATTAGCTGAGGGGTATATAGTTAATTTCAGTTCCACATAGGTCCCAAGGTTAAATTTCAGATATTTATAATCACAGTTTACTGAATTAGTAGTTCATTAGCTTTTTAAAGCATTGCAGAAGATTTTTGGCCAGTGTTTATCGGGAACTTTTTATTCATTTTGTCTCAGGTACTAACTAGAAATATCCTGAAGAACATTAGTCTTTGGAAGCATTCATCAAATTTAAAAGTATTTTTTTGGAGAGAAGCTGAAAAAAAAGTGCATTTTTGAGGTGTTTTTTTTTTTTAACTGTTCATGTGTAGTTTTGTCTTAAAACATCCTTTCTTTTTCTCTTTCTTTCTCTCTCTTTTAGGTCAAGATGATGTTTTTAAGTGCCTTGGAGAGAATATTCTTCAAAATGCTTTTGATGGCTACAATGCATGTGTCTTTGCCTACGGACAGACTGGTAATATTAAATGATATATGTTGTTGTTTTTTAAAAAATATATTTTACTGAGGCCCAGCAGATGGTAGAAAAGCAAGAAGTGGAAGCTACTCTCTTAGCCAAGTCCGAGGACTCTGAGTAAATCAGCAAAAGAAACTTTCATTTAGCCGAAACTCACTTATTTCGTCAAATGGAAAGACTTAC